GCTATTTCTAGAGCTTTTTTATCTTCGACAGGATATCCATTACAAAACTTATTTGTATCCTCGAACTCATGATCATATAATCTGCCTAAATCTCGCAAAATATCATTAGTGGAACAATGACACCAATGAACTTGATGTAGAGACCTTGATGCTCTCTTAGGACCTATAATCATCCAACCAAGATGAGTACGCACAGCAAACGGATGCTTCCTGTCCCCCAGACGTTGTTCCAGGACCCAATGTGCATCCGGAGCATCACACCCAATCAATATTCCTACAAAATTACTTTGCAACTTTGGAAGGGTTATGTCCTTTAGGTGTTTCCACCGTTTCAGTTGGAGTTCGGTTAAAGGTGTTGCATGATCGATCGGAAGTTTCTTGGTCGTGTACACTTTGTTGATCCTTACAGAACCCTGTTCATCTAATGAAAATACCTCTAAATTTACCTCCAAACAATCACAATTGGTAGTTCCGTTCACAGTCGCCACCCTTATCAAAGTCTCTTTACCTTTGATACCCAACTGATTAATTAATTCTTCACATACAAGAGAAGTGTCCGAACCACTATCTAGAAGTGCATATGTTTCCAAACATCCTTTGGGACCGTATAGTCCGACTGGAACGATCCCCAAACAAACCTTTGAAGAGTTCCAATCTTTAGCTAGGTTCACCACATGGTTATCAATACTATCAATATGCAATAATGAATTATGCCTAACCTTGCAATTCTCAACGTCGCACTTGATGCCTGAGTCGCATGTCATAGCTATGTGACCTTTCCTCAAACATAAGTAACATAGACCACGTTTTCTTACCTCCTGCCTCCTTTCTCTTACATTCATTTTTGCTAACCTTGGACAATTCGTCACCTCATGATCACCTTCGCAGATTTCACAACGTGATACCTTGACTGAGCTATTTGGGTCTCGTCTAATTGCATGAAAGCGTGATCTCCTATCAGCTTCGCCTTCAGAATTCCTTTTACCGAACCTTGAGTTACACTGTACTAATCTACCATAACGGGTTCAGGCAATTCTGGCCCTTTCTTCTACAAAGACCACAAATTCTTCAAAGCTCGGCTCCTTCCCATGCATCATGATATTATCGGCGACTTCCACCTACTTATTCTGCAATTCTAGTGATAGGCATGAAACTATTACCTCCAAATTAGCTGTAGAATCAACGTCAGACATATATCCCATTTGCTTCAACGTTATACATAAATTACGCAACTTAATCGCAAAGTCAGTTAATACGTCAGCCGATCCTCCGACAGGTTTATGGTTTAATAACTCAATAATTAGTTCTCGTGCAACAAGATGTTCTTTACCAAATAAATCATACAAAATTCGTTTAGCCCTATCATAGCCCAAATGACTGGGCAGAGAAACGCAAGATTCAATTGCTGTTCTGGCCTTTCCCTTGCAATAATATGCGAATACGACAACAATTGACCCTTATCTGACAACTTACTTTCTATAAGGCTATTAAACTGACTAATAAAACGGTAATACTGACCCGGTTGTCCATCAAAGTACATCATATCGATCTTAGGTAAAACCATGTTAATAACTATTGTATGTAACGTGTCCTTCAGCTCACCAACCCAATCGACTTTTGAGATGTTACATACCACGCCTGGGTGATTATTACACCCAGTATCACAATCCAAATAATTTTCCACTTTAGCATTTATCCCACATTTATCTACGGGTAATCGTTCATCGTCCACGGTAGCCTTGCATTCTAGTTCAGCGATATCAATTTCCTCTTGTAGATCTAACATCTTAAGTTGCCGTTCTAATTCAAGTCTCTTCTCTAAATTCCTTTTCCTCAGTAATGCTTTATCTAACTTTAGTGTAGAAGTACTTAGCTGGCTAGAGGACATATTATTAAGACTAACATCATCACATTTATCATCATTAACATCAGACATACCACAAACAGCTTTGGAAGTTTTACAATCCATTTCGTCATTTTCCTTCAGTCTTCTGCTCCGTGTTTCCATCGTTATCGTTGTTCCAAATAATAGATTACCAGAAAACAATCGAATTAATCCAAACGAAATCGACAAATAAGACCAGGAATTTGGGTCCGAATTACTGTCCAGATTGATCCAAGGTATAAACACAGAACCAATAATTGAAGAACTTTGTGTTACGTCCAGTTTTGCTCGTTCCAATTATTGAAGTACGGACTTTCGATCTAGTTGCAAATTACGAACCCAAATTAACAACAGAACCAATTTCCAATTTAGATACCAAATTTATTCGTAATTCACAAATAATCGACCGAATGTCGTTCTTCAATTTTGTAGGTTCCCGGAGCAAAACTCCCAAATGCCAAACCAAAGACAAAGAGAGCACCAAAATACCAAACCAAAGACAAACCAAAACGTCCGAAATAAAGATATAAACAAACAAGTTCGAAAGTTAAGTAAAACAATTACATCCAAAAGCACAGTAAATTATTAATGTACAATAAAATGTTTTAATCCGTCAAAAGTCTTCAGTTCTCCCGTAACACTCGGCACCTCAAGGTCACGTGGTTGGGAGCCCCGTTGCTAGGCATTTAGCTTGGTCACGTGATTTTCAGTTTGCCCCACCCTGATACTGGCTGCGACACTATCTACCAGTATTTAGTTTTTGCCTGAAGATTACTTTCTTCTTTGTTTATTTTATGATTATTTTAAACTAACAATGAAATGCCCTGACAAGTTTAGAACATACACTATCTTATTATTATCATCATCATCATCATCATCATGAAATCATAGAATCAAACCTTCAGTCTACAAATATAAATCTTATTTGTGTAGAGCATTTGTTACTGTATTTGAAATGTAAGATTGAAATGGTTCACTAACTTTCTGGTTATTTCCGGTTGGTCATGTTCGAGTTCCAGTCATATGTTAAACTGATATGGATCTTACTCTTAGTTTTTATTTGCTATGAGACAGAAGCATCATGACTTATAAATTAACCTTTTCCGAATTTATATAAAGTTTCTGGATTACTACAGGTTTTCGAGTGTCTACTGCAGAAGTGCATCATTTCAACACTATATCAATCCATAAATATACGGCAATGTGATCAGAATAGTTTGTCTGGTTGTTATTTTTTGGCAGCAGTTCTGGAACCCTGAATATGGTTTTTAAAAAAGGAAATATTAACTCGTGTATGATGAATGTTTAAAAAAAATTTTCGAAAAGATTAGCTTCCTTGATTCAGATTATCCACTCGTTCCTGGTGTAGATCCAGTTTCGCATATACGCTTTTCATACTATTCTGCATCTATGTAAGTAAATTAACAGGAAATATATATAAATATAAATATTATGTTCGGAGAACTTTTGGATAAATCATGCAGTGTAACCACACATGTCCACACAATCGAAACTAGCAACTACATCTAACCTTTGTGTAACTGCTTATGCAATTCAGAACATATATTAGACCGATAATGTTATATTTCGTCAAAAATAGGAATTTAATAGGTAAAACATAATTCAGATGGTTATTTAAAAAATCCCAAGAAACTACTACTTAGTATACTGGCTTTGTATACCTAAAGCAAACGTTGGAGGAGTAAAGCTTTAATAGTTATTATTTTTGATGAAATTTTGTTTCTGAGATGCTTATAAAATGAGTCTTAAGTGGTGTAGCATGATATAAAAGGAATTCAACTAGAAATCATTGTTCATCACACATTTCGCTATCTGAGCAACTGAATAAAAAGCTATTTATAGCTTGCAAGCTATAGTGATATGTAATTACTCTGAGTGACGCCAGATTTTCCGGTAAATACAGAGCTTTGGATAATTACGGTTGAATAAATCGAATATATACAGTCAAGGATGAAATATTTCTATTGTAATGATCTGCTAGTCATGTTATATGCATACTTATGACTTTTAGTAGCACAGTTCACGTGCTTACTAGACAAACAAAGTAATCTTATTCTCAAGGACAAGGTATTGGCTAGTTAATTATGCGCTAAAATAATGTTTAATTATAAATTAAAGCATCGTGATGTATGTGCGCTTATACACATTAGTGACACAATTGTAAGTTAGTCAATGCTGACTTAAGTTTACACAGGGGTTTAATCCATATACCTAAATTAATAATTTTCCGTGTATTGTAGGTCTTGGTAATATTGTCGTAATGTAGTTTCATATTTCTGATAAGTAGCAATTTAAAATAGGATAGTGTTGTAATTTCCTATTTGTTATTCGGTTAGGGTAAGTTGCTAAGTAAAAATGACTAAACAACAATTCTAATACGAACAATATGTATTTTGAACGCGATAGTATGGTCAATGATATACATAAAGCAACAATAGTTATTTCCAAACAATGGAATCCTAGAAGACGATAGAATCACAGCAAAAAAACTTCATATTACATGGAAACGAGAAATGAAGTTGAATGACATTGTATACATAACAACAAACATGAATTTAGGATATGGGAAAAAATGTCAACTAAAAACAATGGGACAACGATAGTCATGAGAAATACGACCTACAGTGGAGAAACTAACTAAACAACTTGAGGTCTTCGGGCCAGGTGCACTGAACGTTATTTAGACTCAACATAAACAACATACACAAAACTTGTATTTGTTTTGTTGAAAAATATTCAGGACGAATAGTCGCGCCATTTCAGATTAAATGTATCGCATGTGTTTATTAAGGGACATTTGCTATGTGATTAACCCACTGGGTTAGTTCATAGTATATGAGTAATTGTCTAAAAATCAATGTAGACGATTTGATCGGCAAACTGTTAAGTAGAATTCTGATTTCCCAACTTTATTTCCTCTGATTGTTTTTAAAAACAAATAGTTACTATTTACTCGAAGGATTTATAAAAACGATGTACTACTATACTGATTTATCCAGTCTAGGTGAAGTGTACCTCAACAAAGTAGGAAGAATACAATCATATTAATGAATGAATTGATATATCATCATTGAGTGAACCAATAAATATGAACATGCAACGTTCATATCACAGTATTTATTCAATAGTTTCATCTCTTAAAGATAAATCAGGCATATCTATACTACTAGCAAATCAATTCAATGCTCCACCTTCAGTTCAATCAACTACAGGAATGAATGATATTTATAATGTTTCATCATTACTTTCCATTCTATGGTTATCTCATTTAATGAAAAATAGTCAACTATCAATGCCTCCTTCAATAAAATATATGTCATATGATCAAATACATAGTTTACATGTTAATCATTTCACAGAGGTAAATGACAAATTGTAATTGGCATTTAGATTCTAAAAAGTAGTAAAAAAGTGACAAAATGTGATAACTACGGTATTACGTTTCCGAATGATGGTTTTCAACCACTTTTTAATAGAACATTTGATCCGACAATGATGAAACAACAATCTACACAATCAGATCTTGCAGTACAACATTTAAATTTAAGTGAATAAAGCATATATGACCGTATGGATGCATACAGATTACCCAAATCCGACTGAATTTCAGAACAAGTTTTAACGGATGGAATACATGAATTGACGCCAAAATGTCGTGATATTAACCGTGTCAGTGATAATGGACTGTAATTTATTGTTTGTGGTGACATCAGCAATGAAAAACATTATGGTATTTTAGCATGTAGTGGTTGTAGTGGTTTTTTTAAACGATCTGTCAGGCGAAAACTTATCTACATGTATAGACATTTTCAAATAAGTTAGTTTTATGTTTGTCTTTTTCAGCTGAATTTCCATAAATCATGTCCACGAAACTTCATTTATGACACTCATTCTCATGATCTCATTAACTAATATGGTACCATTCAGTCAATGTATACAAGTTTTATACGCTAATCATTATTGTTAATTCTATAAAATTTTCACAGTTGAATTTACGAGTTGATTTGAGCTAGACCACCAATGAAATCCTGAAAGCATTGGATAGCCGTTTCGTATTATCATGGGACTCATCAGCAGTGCACATCCACGATCCTCACGTGAGACTCGATCCTACGCACGAGCGTTTAGTCTCTAGACCACTAAGCCGACATCCAACGGTATTAAGACGTGTTTTCTGGAGTTCTAGTGTAGTGCAGTGACCAGTGGATTCCAATCCGCACAGGCAGAGACAAGTCCTGAGTCCGAGTCTCGTGTCAGGGATCGTGGATCACACTGCTAAGGGATCTCATACCAGTGTGAAACAGTTGACCGGTGCTACCAGGTTTTTAATTTTGATCTCTCTTAGATTGATTCGTGAATTCAGTTGTGAAATCAATACAATTTCTACAAATCCCCATACTGTTAATCCTATAATAGTTGAAGAATTCATTTGAGAATACCCAGCCAATGTACTGTATCTTAGATGCTCAAAGCCTACTAAATTTATGGTTTTTTTTCAAAATTTCTTGAAAATTTAGATTAATGATGAATCGGTTTTGTGCAAATTAACCTAATGACATTTTCGTTGTTGTCATAGTCATAAAACAAAATCAGCATTTTAAATCTCTGTTCAGAATAAACAGAACTATTATTGAGAAGGAAATTTAAAATCGCTATATTTTATGGCTTATATTCATTATGTAGAATAATAAGTTATTACCTGAACTAGTGTGCTATATGAACTTTGGAAATAAATTCAGATTCGGTGTAGTTTGCTACTATACTGCTGATCGTAGTTACACATAATGAGACTGAGTTGAAAGCAAATAAATAACTTATAATAACTATAAGATGATAGAGAAATGAAGAGTGGGAGTATAGTAATGGATTCATGATTACATATATGTTGCATAAATGTGAGTCGTAGGATAATGAGTATTCCCTGATATTTGGTAAATCTCATACGATTAATATGAACTTTCGACTAGTCATGAGAAAATATTCGGTCGATAAACATCAATCATTATACATGGTTTTCATAAGCTGAACTGATTATTACCGTCATGTTCGTTGAAAAGAGTTCAAACTTAGGAAAAAGATAATTCCCAATTATTTTCAACAAGTCAGAATTTCGTAGTTTGATTTATTAACGACCATTACATGAATGAAAATTTGACATATTATTATGCTGCTAAACTAATTTATGCTTTTGAATTCTCTGTAAAGGTTGTTTCCTCAATTTGTAACTCAAACATGTGATGACTTGTTAATTGTGTATTTCTTAGCAGGCTGATTCTCTTAGTATCGCTATGAATTCACTTGAGAATATTCAGAAACCAGTAAACAGTTGTATTGAGAAAGTGTATTTTGTTAACAGTTTGTTAAATTCCCGGGTATTCAATGATCAAGCACATTTGACAGTAATTGAGTGAAAAGGAGGAAAAATTTACATATGAAAATGATTTTATGGATGCTATTCAATATTTCAGTCAAGTTACGATCTTATATTGCTTGGCAAAATAGATCATATAAATAAAAAGGCTTGTTATACCTTGACTGTTATCATTTTAAATCCAAAAGCGAAAGGAGTTCAGTAAAATTAATGTACCATTAGAAAGCATTTGTTCGTGTTCCAAGCACTATGATGTATATTGTAAAAGTAGTTCAAACCTCCGGTATAAGTAAAATAATGATCTGTGACATTAGACCAATGATCTGATCAACTAATCTATTCAATAGGAACATCGATTACATTCTCATACTATCTGCATCATTGTTATTTTCTACTATGTAGATCATTTAATGCTGTTGTGTAAAATGCCACAGAAAATAACATCGTTTAAGCAATATGAAAATTTAACTCCAATGAACAGTGAGACGATATTGATGTAGAAAATCCTCAACAATTTTCATCTCTTTTTGATGAATGAATAATAATTCATGGACAGATTTGTTGTCTTTAAGATGAATCGTGACACTGTTTGTAATCGAAAAGAGTAATAATTAGAAACTTGAAAACTCAGTTCATAAAAACGAGATCAAAAACTTTGATCTAATGCACAAAATAAAAAAATTCGTTTCTTTGAATCGATAACCAACTAGATCAATACGTTCAAATTACAAATAAATCTTCAATATATAGTTGACGAAAGTTTTCATTATTTCAGCTGTTCAGAATGAACGCCAACCAAGGAAGAGTTCACACTTTACCGCTTAAGGTAATTCAACACCACCCAAGCGTCAAGCACTAGAGATATCGCATTCGCCAAATCACAAATCATTTGTTTCAGAATCTGCTAATAGCGAACTGATGAACGATAAGTCGTTTGGCGAATCAATTAACGTACCTAAAGATAGTTCAAACCATAGTGCTTCTTCTGACTATACAGCACTTAATGAAAACAGTCTATAGGAAAGCGCTAACACTTTTGAAAACATTTTTGCAAATGAATCAGAGTGCATTCAAAAACAGCGTTTAAGGCAACACAGTCATATGTTAAAACGTTCAAACTCATTACACCACAGAAGGTTATCAAATAGAAAGTTCACTAATAAGATAAGAGCTTTAAATGAACCAAAATTTGTTGATACAACTAAACTCCACCATTATCTAATGGGAAACAATTTACCCTAATGCTTTACAAATGCTCAACCAAATACAATTTCGTCCACCACTGAAAACTCAAACAACTTCTGCTTCATCCCATCTGCCATAGACGATAAGACTAATTATCATCCATTTTATACGAACCAGTTTCAAACAATTAATTTACCGAAATCAGAGAAAAGGAACACAACCCCGGATAACCTGGACCATAAAGCCCCTAGACCTTCATCGTCTTCTTATTCAGATGTAAAAATGCAAACATTTTATTTACATTTATTATATATATAATACATATATATATAATTATATATTATATATTTTCAAACTACGTCTGTAGCTCTTAAAGGGTTACTGCCGGTCCCAAGCCCGGGTAAAGGAGGAGGGTGGGGCATGGGGTTAGCGTCCCCATCCCGTAGAAAACTAACTTGCTAAAAAACGCTTACCAGAAAAACTAATCCAAACCATTTTAACTCTGCCCTGTGAGTAAGGTCTTCATTTAGAAGAATTATGACGCTTCATGGTGAAAGCCGAGTTCCTTCGAAAGCAACAAGGCCGATGTCCCTTCTAACAACCAGAGCAACAATTTTTACAGGCACATGGAACGTCCGGACAGTGTGGGAAACCCGGAAGACCAGTCAAATAGCAATGGAAATGAGGAGATACAACTTAGCAGTACTGGGAATCAGCGAAACCCACTGGACCCAAACTGGACAGAAAAGGCTAGCTACGGAAGAGATGCTGCAATACTCCGGTCACGAAGTGGACAATGCTCCACACACTCAGGGAGTCTCTCTAATGCTGTCCAAAGTAGCACGAAATGCACTTGTGGGATGGGAATCTTACGGATCTAGAATCATCAAAACATCATTCAAAACAAAGAAGGAGGGGATCACAATGAATATTATCCAATGTTATGCACCCACCAATGATAGCAACGACGACAGTAAAGATCAGTTCTACGAGCGGCTACAGTCAATCATGGAGAATAGCCCAAAGAAGGACCTAATGCGAGATCTAAATGCCAAAGTCGGGATAGACAACACTGGGTATGAAGATATTATGGGACGACAAGGACTGGGAGGGAGAAACGAAAATGGAGAAAGATTTGCAAATCTATGTGCATTTAACAAATTGGTCATAGGAGGCACAATATTTCCACACAAGCGTAGACACAAGGCTACATGGATCTCATCGGACCACACCACAGTAAAGCAGATAGATCATATCTGCATCAAGAAAAAATTCCGAAGGACAATGGAAGATGTGTGAACCAGGAGAGGCGCTGATGTAGCTTCAGATCACCACTTAGTTGTAGCCAGTTTAAAACTGAAGCTAAAAAAGAACTGGACAAGTGGACAAACAGCACCACAAAGGTTCAATACAGCCTTACTTCAAGATACTGACAAACTCAATGAATTCAAGATAGCTCTCAACAACAGGTTTCAAGCCTTACAAGATCTACTGAAGGAAGAAGAAACTAGTATGGAGGACAACTGAAAAGGCATCAAAGAAGCAATAAATTCAACGTGTCAAGTGGTTCTGGGCCTAAAGAAACACCATCATATGGAGTGGATCTCTATAGAAACTCTGGACAAGATCAAAGAAGGCAGCAATAAACAACAGCCGAACACGAGCAGAGAAAGTCCAAGCACAAGCTGAATACATAGAAGCAAACAAGCAAGTGGAGAAACGTATTAGAGCCGACAAGAAGAAATACGTGAAAGAACTAGCAACGACGGCGGAAAAGCTGCTAGAGAAGGAAATATGAAACAGCTTTCGATACAACGAAGAAACTAGCAGGGAAATACAGTAAACAAGAGAGGCCGGTCAAAGACAAAGAAGGCAAGCCAATCACTGAAATTCAACAACAGCGGAACAGATGGGTAGAATACTTCGAGGAACTCCTGAATAGGCCGGCTCCAATGAATCCACCGAACATCGAAGCAGCACACACAGATCTTCCTATAGA